GGCAGGTGTAGCTCTCACACCCATAATCCCAGGATTGGACCATAAATCAATCACACACTCTAGAAGCCCACCCCATGACTGCACGAGGCTTTGAGGGGACATCCAGACCCAAACCATGATATCATAGTTTGCCATAGCAGCTCTGATAAAGGAACACAACAAACTCAAAGGCAAAGAACAGAAGGAAAAGTGGGAATTCATAGAGATCACTGGAGCATGGAAGCCAGCACCTGTTCTGAGGGTCCTGGTGAGCTGGATACCAGTACCCATCACCTCCGAGGACACAGGAAACAGGAGACAAAGCCCAGGACACCAATATGATGAGCTGAGCTGAATGGGACTCTACTCGGCCCATGAAAGTAGAACTCTACAAGGGTATGGGCAATCCAGCAATAAAGCTTCCTCTCCAAAGGGCACTGATGGGAAATTATCTCTCTCTCTCTGGGTGGTGCTGGATGAAAAAGAGAAAATACACTGAGATGCAGTGTTATAGCGTATATCTAGATGTTTCCTCAAAGCCTCATGTACTCATAGGTACTCATAGGTAAGGGTTTTAGGAGATGACTGGATCATAAGTGTGTGGTACTGGATCATGGGGTGTGATTATGGATTAGTCCACTAATGGGTTCATAGCTAGGTATGATGTTGGGAGGTGAGGTCGGGTGGGAAGAGATGAGTTGCTGTGGGTATAGCCTAGAAGGGTATTATGTATTCCTGTTCCTCTCTTAGTTGCCTTGCCTCCTGCCTTCCCTGCCATGGACTGCTTCTCCTCTGCCATGCCATTCTGTCTTGGTGCTAGCTAACTATGGACTGAAATCTCTACAATCTCTGAGCAAAGAGAAACCTTTTTTTCTTTAACCTGTGGCTGTCAGGTATTTTATCTCAGGAATGAGAAACTAACTAAAACAACTGAGCACAGAGGCACACTCCTGTATTACCAACCTTCTAGGAGGCTGAGGCAGTAGGAGCATAAATTTGAGCCTATCCTGGGTAACTTAGTGACTCAGTGAGACCCTGACTCAAAATAAAAAATAAAAGCACCAGGGGTACAGCTCAGTGTGAAGGCCTTGGGTTCAATACTGCAAAATACTGGGCTCAATACTGCACTGCAAAAAAAAAAAAAAAAACCACTAGGAATCTCTGGCCATACACCTGTCCACACCATAGTTTGAAGTCTGCATTCAGGTCTCATTTATATCAGCTGAGAATGAGGGTGAAAGAAGCTTGAGATTGGCAGCCATCTTAGTCCACGAAGATGTGTGAGTCTGTCTGATATGCCACCCCCAGCCAGGTCTCGAGGAATTCATCACAGTAAGGGAAGTCTCAAAGAACAAGGAACCCATTTCCAAAAGACAGAAACATAAGACAGAGGAGGCAGCAGAGCAGCATGCCGAGAAAGACCAGAGTCCTCGGACAGCTGAGTGAGACCAACAAAGATTGTAGCTGTTAAGTGATCTGACGTGGAGAATAAAGTAACTTAAGGAAATATAATTAAAAGTATGAATTAGATTCAAAAAAGCTAGACTTATGAACAAAGAGATTTAGAAAATAAAATTTAACATCTATAAATGTGTATAATAATTCAAATTAAAAACTCAATTAGACATAGCTAAAGAGAAAATTAGCAAGCTAAAAGGTGGATGGGAAGAAATCTCCAGTACAGAAATGTGAACAATTAGGAAAGAGAAGTTAAGAGGCACAGAGGAGGTCGCAAGAAGAAAGAACACGGATCTATTCACGGTCCCTAGAGGAAAAAGATGCAGTATTTGCAATATTTAAGAATATAATAGTTGAATGGATGCCAAGCTGGGATAAATAAAAAGATATGCACAACCTAACAAGTTATAGCACAACTTCAGCATGCCAAAAACAAAGACATAAAAGCAGATGACTTTCAAAAGGATGACAAATTGGAGTGACAGCAGATTTCTCAACAACAATAAAGAAAGCAAGGAGGAAGTAGAATGATAGCTTCGATAAACTGGGAGAAAATAATAGCCAAATAAAATTGTATATCCTATAAGATAAAAAATGATAGCTTCCAAGAAGGACGACAAAACAGGGTCATTTTCAGATAATCAAAAACTGAGAGAGTTTATTACCAACTGACCTTCACTAAAGGGAAATGTAATGAATGTACTTTGGGTGGAGGAAAGTGATTGCGGATTGACAGTGTGAAATTTTGAAACATCTTAAGCAAAGACAAAGCTAGGTCTCAGATAAATGTAAACAAAAATTTAAACAACAATAATTTCCTGGAGAGTTCATTCTTTTGAAAAACAGACAGATGTACTAAGCATAAAATATCATTTGAGGGAAAAATAATTGGATCTGAAGTGGTCTAGTGCACTTGAGTGTTTTTAAGATTTTTAAATAGCAGATTTTCACATTAAAGTTAATTTCTGGAGTAAGCACAAACAGAAGGGAAGTAGGATGCATAATTAACAAACTAGCGGAAGGGAAGGAAATGAAATATGAAAACTACACAGTAATAAATCCAGAGAAAGGGAGACATAGGAGGCTTGGGATAGAGTGCATAACATAGAAGGTTTGGGATAGAGTACATAAATGAAGATGGTAGAAATAAATCCAAATATATCAATAACTACAATTTTTAAGGGGGATCGGTGTACCAAGTTTAAAACTCCAGACTGTATTTTTAGATTACACTGGAGTTTTCATCAGCTATCTCTGTGTATAAAAGTCATCCTAATAGCTAGATGTGCTATTAGGATTCCAGCATTCTAGGAGGCAGAGACAGGAGGATTACAAGTTCAAGCCCATTCTGGGCTACTTAATGACCTAGTGAGAATGAGTCTCAAAAGAAAATATAAAAATGGGTTAGGGATGTAGCTCAGTACAAAGGTTTTGGGTTAAATCTTCAATACCTGAAAAAAATACATTAAATAACCTGTCAACAAAGAGATCGAAAATAAAAGTTTAAAAAACATATACCCAGAAAATATATAGACTACTGTATATAATTAGCAACAGATTAACTAACATTAAGGCAAAAGACAGAAGATGAGATGGCTATGTATAATATATACAGTTCACCAGATTCAACAGAAATTGACAAACTATGGAAAGCAACAAAAACATCCACTGCCCTAGTGGGTGATTCTAATATCCCTCACTCAACAGTGAATAGACCAGCCAGACAGGTAGTTGCCTGCTGGGCTGCAGCAGAGAAAATACGTAAAAAGCTTCAAGTACCGTACCCTGCCAAAGGCACCAAAAGCCATTGCAAAGGGGTGCTGAGCCCAGCTGTGGGGGCCACTTGGTGACTTAGCAAGACCTTGTCTCAAAATTAAAAAGGGTCGGTGATATAGCTCAGTGGGATGGCCCTGGGTTCAATCCCCAGTGCCGACCAATCAATCATTGATCAATCAATCCTTTGAGAGCTGAGCCTTATAAGTTCCAGAAGAGGATCCTCTGATAGATGTAGAAAACATACTGAAGCACTAAGGGGTAGGGAATCATCTGTCTGCAACCTATTCTCAGCACAAACACTGCCAGTGGATTGGAGCTGCCCAGGCAGGAGAAAACCTCTTTGCCATGCGAAACTACAACACCTTCAAGCTCATCTACCTCCACGTTCTTACTATCATGAGCAAGTTTCTCAGTGTCAGTGATATGCATGGCAGAGAGTTGGAGATTAAAGTGGCTTTGCAGGCATCCAGGGCTGGTTTTGATGTGAGCTAATGCAGAAGTAGCTGGGAAGGGGAAGGGAAAGTGAATCTTTGGGAGAAAGGAAGTAGGAAGCTCCAAAGCTCCCCTTGCTTGGAATCAAAAGCTTTTCTCCACCATAGGTCTGAAGCACAACGAGTCTTTCTTGCTTTAAAGGAAAGTAACTTGCACAGTGTGACCTCCCAAATACCAGCTGTGGTGCTAAAGTTCTCCGTCAGAAGAAACTAGAATCAATAGACCCAAGCTCCCAAAACTGGGTTCCCCATTTCCCCCTCGTGAGACAAGGACAAGTGACTCCCCTGGCAGAGGTCACCTGTGTGACCTAGAAAGCAGGTCAGTAGGCCTGGTCTGGCAGAAGCCCTTTGCCAACTACAGCTACTTTTATTCTCCTTTAGTTATTTGGATGCAGTGTTACACCCTCAAGTCATTTAGAGCCTGGCAAGGTGTCTAAGGTGGTAACGCCCTTTTCTTTTCTTTTTCTAGTACTGGAGATTAAACCCAGGGCTTTCCCAGTGAACTACATCCCTGGCCTTTTTTTATTTGTATTTTGAGATAGGGCCTTTCTAAGTAACTAAGCTGCCGGATCTGGGCTCCAACTTGCCATCCTCCTGCCTCAGCATCCCAAAGTGCTGAGATTACAGGCCTGCATCACCATATTTGGCTGGCTCTGCCTTTTTTTATTCAGCTGACTGTCCTGTTTTATAAACTACCACTCCATGAAATGTCTGAAAAACACTGTTGTGAATTAAATGAGTATCAGTGCAATGGTGTTGTTCTGCCAGCAGAACTGGTTTTATGTATTCTCGGTTTTTCTAACCTTTATTTTATGAATTATGCATTCCTTTGACATCAGATAAATCCCCAACAGCAGTGATATTCTCACTTGGGGCGGCCCAAGAACGGTTCCCTTATGCCTGTGTGCCACATCCACAGTCTCCGTGGGCTGCTGCGTCATGCACTGGCTCCTATGGACTGTATGGGGCCTGTCCGGAAGGTGCCGGAGCAGGAGAGAAGGCGATCCTCCGGCGGGAGGGTGGAAGGGTGAGGACAGCCAGGGGACACTTCCTTTTCCTCCTTGCAGCTTTTCACAACAGTGGAATTTTGCATCACGTGAATCTCACACCTTGTAAAAAACAAACAAAATGAATGTCAAAGACGTAAGACTTTTATTGAACTGAAATCTTAGATTTCCTTCCCTACCCACTGGCTGGAGTCATATGTTTACAGACATTAAATTTTTAGCAGGTAATGAAAGTATAAAATGTGAACCCGAGGCCCCAAATGTCAGTGAAGTCTGCAAAAGAGGAATGGCCACTGTGTGCTCTTGAGGATTAGTGAGAATTCAAATCGTGTGGGGAAGGGCAGGTGGGGAAGGAGCCCAGGTGAGGGCTAAGCCCGAAGCGGGTCACTGGTCACCACGGCGGCCAGCAGAGAGGAGGTCTGCGGATGTGCGTGCCTGGGCTCATATGGAAACCGGAAGGAAATCCACCAACCCCGGACTTCCGCGTTGCGGTAACTTAGGAGAGGGCTGGTGGTGCCGTGAGGAGGTATGTTAATAATCAGGGTTTGTACAAGTAGAAGTTGCAGGATAGCACAGAGATTTGTGTGTGTGTGTGTGTGTGTGTGTGTGTGTACACTCACGTGTGCAGGCCCATAAACACGAGGTCTGGCACCCACAAGCTAACCAGACAGAAAAGCTCCCGGAAAACACCAGCACTGTTGATGAAAGCACAATCCAGAGAAGTGGTGGGAGGCTGCAGGCAAGGAGGGGCTTCTCAGCAAAGGGGCTCCCGCTGTTTTGAGGAGCTGGGGCCGCTCCCTTAACATGTTGCTGAGCACGGGACAGTGGTGGCTTCCTGCGGGAGCCGGTGCACGACGTAACCCGCCGCGTTCTTCCTGCTTCTGCTCCTCTGTCCGCCCCTCTCCCCACCTCCGCTCCCCTTCTCCGCAAAGGATGGGCCCCTAGTTTGTATCATCTGTCTGTTATTTGCTCTTGCAATTATTTACGCTGTGTGTTTCTAAGGGACGCCAGTGAGGCCCACATCGTGTGTCTGGCTGAGGTCGCTGCGCGAAGACCATCCTGGGAGCCACTCCTGCGCGGAGATGCCGCGCGGGGCCGTGCGGAGACGCTGAGACAAACCCCGAACTCATACCTAGGGCGGCCCAGGAGGCCGCAGTGAGAGGAGGATCCACTGAGAGCGCACCCTCCCGGGGAAAGACACGCACCCGCGCCGCCCCGCGCCTCCGCATGCACCCTGGCTCCTGCTCAAGTTCCTACTTCAGCCTCATAACTTGTCTCCCTGCTTCTACCCTGGACCTCCCACGCCTTGACACAGCCCCCCAAAGGAGCCATTTAAGAGCATAAATTCCTTCTGTCCTCCACCATTTTCATCCTCCCTGGCTCTCCACTGCCCTCAAAGAGAAACATTAAGCCTCTGCAGTGGCCTGCCAAGCCTGAGGCGGTCTGCGCCTCCTCCCCTGCCCTCCTCCCCAGCTCGCTTCTGCCCAGCCACACGCGGTCCTCCCTGCTGTCGGCCTTGACCTGCCCTGCACCCTCCTGCCTCAGGACCCAAACTAAGCACTGGTGGTCGCCAGCAGAGCCCGCAGCCCACCCCTTCACCTTCTCCCGACCTTACTTCAAATGTCACCTTTCAACCAGGGCCCCCCAACTCCAAAGCTGCAGAACACGCCTGCCTGGGCGCCCCAGCCTGCCCCTAACTCCAACCTGACCTGGTTCCCATCACCTGGGCCACTGCACATGTCCCCTAAGCTGCTTTCCCTCTCCGTTGGAGTTTTTGTCTTCTGCTCTTGCTGGAATACAAGCTCACTGAGAGCAGGGATTTTGCTTTTTCACTGAGGAACCAAGTATTTGGCTGGAGCAAGAGGCCAGGGGATGAAGACTTGGTGAGTGAAGTGGAAAGGCCACGCGCACAGACAGGGTTGTGGCAAAAGAGGAGGAGCTGCGTCACTACCGTGAGGTGCGCACCGCACGTGGCCGCGCCCTCCCGCCCTTGCGCTGACCTTCCTCAGGGTGGTTAATGTACCTGTCTAATCGGCCAGCTTTTCCTAAGAGGGCGGGGAGGATTGCTGTGACCCCGCTGTGTGTGTCTTACAGCGAAGATGGGAGGAGAGGCAGTTCGCAGAGCGCTGCACAGTGTGGAGATCTGGCCAAGCCTTCCCACCTGGAGCCTCCGCACCCTGTGAGCTGTGCACTCACGCAGCAGGACAGGGAGCCGAGGGTGCTCCCAAGGCCCAGGGTCACCCAGGAAAATGCCATCCCGGAGCTGCTGGTCCCCTGCATGTGCCACCTCGCCACCGCCACCGTGAAGGGACACAGGTGGCAGCTGTCAGCTGCTTCACCTTTGCCGGGAATGTTTGTTGTTAAATTTTTTCCTCCGGCTTCTCTGTTCACATTTCACTGTAAAATACAACACAAACACAGCAGTCCACACAAAACACAAGGATGAGCTAGTAACTGTGACGCAGTGGACCTATCAGTGTGGCTCCATCAAGAAACAGAACTTTGAAGCTGCCCAGGGGACCCTATGGGTGGTGTCACTCCCACACAGCACCCTGGTGTCCCCAGGTCCCCATGTCTCGGCCACCCCAGGCAAGGAGCCTTGCCTCACCTTCAAGTCTGACATCTGGATGTGTCTTTAGATGCTACTGATTTGGTCCTATCCTTTTTTTTTTTTTCCTCTTTTTGAGACAGGATCTCGCTATGCAGTTCAGGCTGGCCTTGAGCTCACTTTGTAGCCCAGGCTGGCCTCGGACTCACAACGATCCTCCTGCCTCAGCCTCCCCAGTGCTGGGATTACAGGCGTGTGCCACCATGCCCAGCGGTCCTATCCATTTTTAAAAGATTTTGCCACCTTTTAAATCTCTCAGTGAACCAATGTCTCTGGCATCCTCTAGCTAATGAGGGATTTAGCATTTCACACCTGCAGGACTCCCTACAGAGGGGTCCAGGTGGGTGGATGCGCTGTGTACATACACGCATACACACACACACACACAGAAATACTTTTTGAGTTCATACTAATATTTTAAATCCAAACTCAGGGTTTTTGCTTAATCTCTTTTATATTACTTCTGTGTGTACTGTCTTCCATACCAAAGAACCACATTCTCAAAAGCACACAAGATGATAGGATGTTCCATAATTACTCATTTGCTTTGTCTCTTACTGTACTCCTAAGAAGGAAAATAAGGTCACCCTTAAGATTAAGCTAAAAGGAAAATGACAGAAAATAAACACAACCAACAACGCCTTAAGAGAAATGGAAAGTGGAAAGGGGAATTATTTTAAATAAAAAAAGACAATATTCTCAGAACCTTAGCACTAACCCTGCCTGTTATACTGGCTAAAAAAGCACAATCCACCTGGCCCCTGTCCAGTGGCTATGAGCTGTGGCTGTGGTCAGGTGGTCCACAAGGGCGTATCACTGTCCTTTGTCACCTTGCACTTAGCCTGAGCCCTGCAAGGACTTGGACCAGCACTGTGCACCAACAGTCCTTACAACTCTGGCTTTTTTGGTTGTTAGAAACTCATTTTTGTAATCACTTTCTCAGAAGGTCTCATGAGACCAGCTTTGTCTGAAATCTTTGTGTTGATGAAAGTTCACGGTAGCCTTTTATACTTATTGGCTAGTTCTACTGGATGTAAAATCTTGCATTTCCGTCTCTTTTTTTGAGTATATTAAATATATTACTGCATTTTCTTCTGAGGCAAAGAAATACATGAAAAAATCTAATGACATCATAAGTTTTTTCCTTTATAAAGCAGGCAGTCTGTTTGCCTAACTATCCAGAGTTTATTGTCTTTGTCTTTAAAGTCAAGCAATTTTATTAGAATATCTTGATGTGGGTTGATCCCTATGGATGGTCTCAGGCATACAGTACATCCTTTTAATACATATTTTGAAACTTTTTTTAGTTTCAAGGAATTTTCTGCTAGGTTTAATTTTTAGTACTAGGCTTAGGTTGTCTATTCAGGTGCTCATGACCTATATGTTGGCTCCCCTTTGTCTGTCTTCACCTGTCATTTTTTCTCAAATATTTCCCATCTGTCTTTCCTTGCTCCTTTTGGATTTAAAATGCTTCTGTTTCCTACTTTCCATTTCCTCTAAAGCATTATTAGCTGTGTTTATTTGCTGTTGCTTTTCTTCCACTCTGACCTCCATGATGACATTATTTTCCTTCTTATTTCTAATTCATGATTTCTGTCTCCCTCTTCTGACTTTTTCTCATTTGTAGCTTGTATAACTTTTTCAATGTCTTTGAGGTCATTTCAGAAAGGCCCGTTGCAGCTTTGATCTCTTTATTTTTCATTTTCATATTTATTTATTTGGTTTTGGTTTTTTGAGACAGGGTCTTATCATGCAGTCCAGGCTAGCCTTGAACTCATGACTACCCTCCTGCCTCAGTCTCCAAAGTACTGGGATTACAAGGGTATACCACAACACTTGGCTGATGTCTTTATTTGAATATGTTTTCCTGAGGATGCTTTTCTGTTCCTTATTCACAAAAGTTACCATAGAAACTTTGTATTGATGACTTTTCTGTTGCTCACCTTTGTGTGAATTCAGTTAACCTCAATTTTAGGGTTATTGTTATATAATGTTGTCCTGGCTCAATTTCTGTTGATATAACAAAGTGCCTGACAATGGCTAATGTGTGAAGAAAAGAACTATGACACTGGTTCACAGTTTGGAGCTCCCATAGCATGGGGCCAGCATCTGCTCAGCTCTAGTGAGGGTCTTCAGCCACAGGACAATATGGTGGATGGCATCACGGTAGGAGTGTGTTCAAGGTGTGAGAGGAAGAGGTGATATGGGTGCACAAGGAGCAAGAGAGGCTCAGGGACCAGGCTTGGTCTTTTTGTAACAGCTTACTTTCCTAGGAACTAACAAAGTCCCCTGAGAACTACACTCACTGCTTCTGTTTTTCTGTTTTGTTTTTTGTTTTTCTCCGGTACCGGGAACTGAACTCACGACCTTGCGCTTGCCAGGCAGGCGCTTTTGCCGCTGAGCTAAATCCCCAGCCCCTACACTCACTGCTTCTGAAGGCAAGAACCCAACCGCTATCCCCCTACCTCATGGCCCCACCTCCTACCACTGTTACACAGCCACACCACCATGCTGGAGACCTCACTTCCAGCACACTGATCTCTGGCAAATGGTCAAACCTCATCTAGCCCACAGCAGTGTTAAATAACCCTCCGCTACCCCCACACACATACAACCTCAGCAGAACCCTTGTATGTTCTATAAGCCAACAAAGCACCCCTCAGCCTCTTCCCTGTCCAGCATCGCAGGGAAGTGGATCCCAGTGATCCACCGGAGAGTCTTGTTAAATTTAGGCTCTGGTCCAGCAGGTCTGGAGTAAATTCTGAGATTCTGCACTCTCTCAGCCTTTGGGTGAGCTCAGTGTGGTGGTCCTCAGACCATATTTCTTCTAAGTATCACCTTGGGATCACCCTGAGTAGTTTTCCAAATACACATTCTCTTTTCAGTGTTGTTTATTATTTTGAATAATGAAAGAAACAAGTTCAATAAGCCTATTCTAAGAGAAGTATTGCTTTATACAGTAGCGTAAACATTCTTATTATTCTTCACTATTAGCATTTGTATAAGTGATAAAATAGACTTGGGTATATCTGTACTGTGTGTGGAACTGGGATGCAAACTTGATTTTTTTAAATTTTATTTTTTTTATTAAAATATATTAGTAACCTGAACTTTGGCTCCCAACTTCTGTCTCTTTCTGCTACATCTCAACACCTCTACCTGGGAATACACATCTTCTTTTTTTGGCTGTCATCATCTTTCCTCAATCTTCTTCCTCTTTTTATCTAAAATAGCCATTATTGAATTTGTGAGAATTTCTCTCCACTTCTTGCAACATGCTAATCAGCTTTGGGGATCCTGGTTAATAACTTCTGCTTAATCTCACCCAGAGAAGCATAGCAGTGTTACTCAGGCTTCCATTTAGAAGGCAAGAAAACCAGTACATAGCTTAGTAAAAAAACTTCTTCCCCTCATGTCTGTTCTCTGTATATCATAGTGTTGCTTCTGTTTACTTCAATGGAATAAAATTTGCTTAACACACAGCATGCACACAGATTTGATTTATTGCTTTGCCATCTAGTCTCATACTAAATGAGTTCTGTTAATTAACCTTCAGAAGATTTTAGAAATAGAGAATAGCAGTGTTGTGTTATTGGAGAGAAGAGGAACCGTGAAGGTCTTTCAAAATATTAAATTAATGATTAAGCAAATTAGGCAACAGTCATGGGGTTCCTGAAGAGCCTGGAGCCCTGGGGCTGTCTGGGAGCTCACTGCCTTTGAACTGTAAATAAGCAAAGTGAAGCTGTTCTCACTGCAGAGCACTGGTCCTTGTCCACACAGGCATGTGGTTGTAATGGTAGCCACCATCTTGCTACTGAACCCCAATTCTTGGCCACAGTGATGGCCTAGGGGAACAGTGCCCACCCAGCTAACCACAGAGCTCCAATATCTGGTCATAGGTGACTGATTCATGTCTAGGAACCTACACACCATGGTTTAAGCCATCTTTCCCAGGATTTTCTAACAAGAATCTAGGGAAGAGGCCCAGTTTCTCCCAAGACTAGGATAGGGTGAGGTGGGCAGCTAGGTCTTTGTCCTGTGGCAGAAGAGGATACAGGGCAGCTCATGTAGGGAGACACCGGAAATGAGGATGAAGAGTTGGATCTGGAGCCCGAGATAAATGTCCTGCCGGCCAAATTGACTGTCCTCCCTGTGGTAGGCCTGGAGTGGACTTCCCTTTCCATCAGAGGTAACTGAAGTCGGGTCCTCATTGCCAGAAAATAAATAGTCCCTGATACATTTGCATCAGTCCTGAGGTCCCATATAGGCTGGGAATGGCCCTTGGAGTCTGATACTTAGGATGGAGTGTGAGCTGGACACATAGGAGTTGTGCTCTATATCACCCTCCACAGGGGGCCCTCAGCCATAAATGCTTTTACAAACTAGGAAACAAGAAGTGTAGTATGTTTCCTTTAAGAGCAAAGCTGTACACAAATAAAGAGTACTTATCTAATTATAATTAGGAAGAGAGAGGTTATCTGTAGGACTAGACTGTAAAGGTGTGAGTGGATGAGCCCCAGAGCACGTAAGATTCTTATAAGCAGAGAGCCGCCTGTAAGACTCTCGTAAGCATGAGTGTCCTCCAGCTGCTGCCTCAAAGTAGCACAAATTGGGGGTTCAAACAACAGAGATTTATTCTCTCGCAGTTCTGAAGAGCAGGAGATGGAAATCAGGATATCAGCAAGGCCACACCCCCTCTGGAGTCTCTGGGATGGATCCTTCCCTGCCTTGGTGAGCTTCCAACAACCTTAGGCTATGTTGAATTGTGGGTCCCACACCCCAGATTCCTCTGCGTCCATCTCCACGTGGCACCTTCTTGGGTGTCTGTATGTGTGTCTTCTCCTACAAAGACCTTAGTCTGGTTAGAATAGGCCTACCCTACTCTGGTACCGCCCTGTTTATCTAATTATATTTGCAGAGACCCTACTTCCAAATAAGAAGGTCACACTCTAAGAAACCAGGGTTTAGAACTTGTGTGGATCTTGTGGGAAGACACAGTCAAGCCTGTGACAGATGATACACTCATTCTTAAAACCTCCTCATGACAGTAGTAAAGTCTCAGCTCAGATATCACCC